CTAAAGAGGATCAACCTCCTAAAGAACCTTCACCTAAGGAGGATCCTAAAGAACCTCCACCTAAAGAGGATCAACCTCCTAAAGAACCTTCACCTAAGGAGGATCCTAAAGAACCCCCACCTAAAGAGGATAAACCTCCTAAAGAACCTTCACCTAAAGAGGATCCAAAAGAACCTCCACCTAAAGAGGATAAGCCTCCTAAAGAACCTTCACCTAAAGAGGATCAACCTCCTAAAGAACCTCCAGCTAAAGAAGTTAATCCTCCTATAGAACCTCCAGCTAAAGAAAATAATCCTCCTAAAGAAAAGGATCCGGAATCAAATCCTCCCACTAAAACACCAAAGGAAAATAATCCTAAGGAAATTCCTGGTAAAAACGGAAAAGAACCTTCCCCAAATGATGATAAGGCGAATCCACAAAAAAACGAATCAAAAGTTCTAAATATAAACATTCCCGATAACCCACCATCCGATAATGCACCAAAAAATCCAAAAGAACCCTCTTTAACACCAACATTTAACTCTCCTCCAGATGAGATTTCATCTCAAAGTGAACAAAAAGCAAATACAATCAATAAAAATGACAATCCAAATATAGATAATAGTGTATCAGATGTAGAACAAAATGCTTCAACCGCTTTTGATCCAACAAAAGTAAATGATCCGTTATCAAATCCAAGTTCGACTACCCAACCGATATCACCGACAACGGATATAGCAGCTCCAATAAGTCCATTTGACCCGCGATCACCTTATCGTATACCCGCTATAATCGGACTGGTAATAGCTATTCTATTGGCATTATTTGCTTTAGCATTTTTATTGAGAAAAACAGTGTTTTCAAAAAAATATAGTGAACCTCCTTATCAAAGAACTTATTCGGTAGATGGAAGTATTCATAATAAATTAATTCAGCGACAATATTCCATGACAGATCATAGTTTACCACCATGGTCTCCAACATCTTTTGATAATGATGCTGAAGAAATAAAACTTCCCTCTCCAACCGTCATACGAAAATCTTTCTCCCCTCCAGATTCTCATTTAGTTGAAATTAATTTAAATGAAAATATGTCTTCTACAGCTTACAACAATATTTCTTCAACGAATGCAAAGCGGTCCACACATTATAAAGACTTGGCAAGAAAATCAAGTTTATTAAGATATGTTAAAGATTTTGAAACATTCGATGATGAGATAACTGAGGAAGAATCAAATGTGAGTAGTAATTATGAATTTCCAAATCTGCCTGATCAAACTGTTACTTGGGAAGAATGTATGAAATAAATTAGTTAATTCATATATTTACAATAATGGAGGGAGTTGAATATAAAATTTTATTTTAAAACAATTAATTTCATTGTATAAATTGATTTGTATTTATTTATTTCTTTATAAAATCAATATTTTCTTGATGAAAATATGAAACCAAAGTTTTTAGTCAATTTTTATAAAAAGATAACGACTATTTATTATACAGTAAAAAATTTTTCTATCTTGAAACTAGTCTAATGGTAGATAACTTAGTATGTAATTTCATTTTTTTGAAATATTGCCAATTCTTTTTTCAACGCAAAATAATGAGAAGGATGAAGAAGAAGATGATGATTTTTATCCTTTAAATGTAATGTGTAAAAAGAACTTTTTTGGGGATGAAAAATTCAAAAAAAAAAAAAGGAATCTTAACCCTTGTTCTCTCATTCAAACATGCAAATATAATTCTTATAGAAGCATTTGGGATATTGTGCTTGTACTGAATATGCAAAATATCTTTATTTAATAGAGCATGAAAAATTAAAATAGATAAAAAAAGAGGTAGGAACAAATTAAACCCTTTAGGTATCCTATAATTGGCTTTAGAAGTTACAATGGTATTTGATGAAATAAAAGGATCACCTTCACTTAAATAAGATTATTAGGCAAATAAAATTTTATTAAAGTTTTTTTAATTATATGGAATATTATATATGAGATTTGTTTATGATATTTATTGTATACGATCAGTAAATGGATTGTCTTTCATGTATGCAGCAACGTTACTTTGATGTTTTACCACCTCCAAATATTTGATAATCATCGTTAATTCGGAATCTCCGCCTTCACGTACTCTTTCGCGATCAAATCCACGAGGATGGATTGCATTGAAAGGTTGCAATTGAGTCTTGTATCTAGAATCATCAATTAAAATTGTATTCGTAGGATCCAACATGAACTTAGTTGTGCTTTCGGTTTGGGAATTCAAAGCTTTCCAAATAATATCCAAATCTTTTATGGCTTTAGTATCCCTTTCATATTCTTCGTTTGTAAATCCAAATTTATCACGGGCCCAAACAGCAACTAGCTTTTCTTTTTGATCTCCAAATATCAAATTCACCATCTTATCAACATTTTCAGGTCTTGAAGTGGACCAAATCATCACCGAGAAATTATCGAAAAGATAATTAATAAATTCGTTGATAAAAGGACGTAGAATAATATGATAAATTTTATTTTTACTCTTTTTTTTCTTTCGGAAACATAAAGTCCCATTTAAATCTAATATAATTAATTTTGGGGAAGGCGAAGTGAGATTGATTGAAGGTTTTGAAATGATATTTAAATAAAATGTTGATAATGATGCTGCGTCCTTGACATCCGTAGTGATTTTTTCATCTCTAATATCAAAAGGAACGTTACATATCCTTTTCTGATTGGATTCCATTGATTTAATTGATTCCACTGAGAATACACAATATTTTGACAGAGCAAATAAAGAGAGAGAATTGTGAGATTCACGAAAACGCTAAAATTGGAAATAATAAAATTCGTGTTACGTAATCATGTTTTTAAAAGTTATTGGTTACATTGATTTAATCGTTTAGAGTAAGATATGTTTTGTATTACTTTTTTAGAATTAATGTTTGAAATATTATTTATAGAATAGAATTACGCGTTACCAGCAAAAGTTATAATTAAATAATGTATTTTTTTTTTTTATTAATCAATTCATTTAAATGTTTTAATAAATATTATTATTTGTAAGAATTATTTATAATTGTCAAGATCATGGTTTATAATGAAAATTTTTATAATTTAAATATAATTATAATAATCTCATGTAAATTATGTAATTCTATATAAAAATTTTAATTCTATTTAAATATAATTATAATTTAATAACTTATAATTTAAAACTTAAATTTTTTACTAATTTAATTTATAATTTATAGTAATAATATAAAAAGAATAATAAAAAATAAATATAATAAATAAAATTTAATTTAATTTATAAAATTTTTATTTATCTAAATTTATTTATATTTTTAAATATTTGAGAAATAATTATTGATATCTTATATAAAATTTTTTAATTTATTAATTTAATATTTTATTTATATATTAAAAAGTATTTAAAAAAGGTTAAATATCTTAATTTATTTTAATTTACTATATTTATTCTTTAATAAAAATTAAAATAAATTATATATATTTATTTAATTAATTTTATTCAAATAATTGATTTAAAATTTTAATTTCTAAAATATTAAAAATATTATAAATATAATAATTCATTTATGATATAAATATTTAATCATATAACTAGTATTATAAAATTGTATTATACTATAATAGTTTTATAATATTAAACTTTATACTTACTAATAATATAATACAATATAAATTTATAATATCATTATACTAATTATAATATTATAGAATATAGTATTATATAAATTAAATTTTACAAAAATAAAAATTTATAATATTATACTATATTGATTAAAGAATTATATTAAATTGATTTTAATTAATTTGTAATTTAAAATTTTAGTAATAACCTTTTTTTTTACTTAATAAATTTTTTATATTATTAAAAATATATAAAATTTTACTTTAAATTTATATAAAGTTTTGAATTATATAATGTTAATATATTTATCTGATTTAATTTAAAATTTCAGATCAGATCAATAAATTTTTATATTAATATCACCTATTATCTAACCTAATTTTACCTAATAAAATTTAAATAATTAATAATTTAAATAATATATTATTAATAAATTATTTTTTTCTTAAATAATAATATATTTTACTAATAAACAAACAATCTTATTAAATAATTTAATTAAAATAATAATAAATTATTTAAGAAGAATAATTTAATAAGTCAAATTAGTTTAATTAGAAATTTAAGTTAAATTAAATTTTTATTAACTTGATCTAATCCTTTTAAATTAGATAATTTGATTGATCTGATTTAATTAACTACTAATTTTATATTTTATCTAACAAATATAAATTTTATATAATATATTTTATTTTATTCTAAATTTTAAATATTAATTTAATTTTATATATAGTATAATTTATAAATAAGAAATGAAAACTTTTAATAATGGTTAAAGCTTAAACAAAATTATATTAAAATAATAAAGAAAACTTTTTAATAAAAGTTAAATTATATTATAAATTATTAATAAAAATAAATAATTTATGAATTCATATTATTATATAAAATATTAATTACTATATAATACAAATTTAATTATTTTAATATTAAGCTGGTTAAATTATTTTATTTAAATATTAAAATGATAAAATAACCAAAGTTTTAAAAATAAATTTATAATTAATACAATTATATATTAAATATTAATTTAATATTAATAAAAATTAGATTTAATTAATTTTAAATTTTATATATAATTATTTAAAAGTAATTTGTTTTATTTTAAAATCTTTAAATTATATTTTAAAATTATTAAATAAGAAAACAATAATTTTATAAATTAATTTTATTATATAAAATTAATTTTACTTTATAAATATTATTTTAATATTTAAATTTAAAAAATTTTAAATCTTTTATATAAATTATTAAAGTAATTAAATTATATTGTAAAGAAAATTTTATAAATCTTTACTATTAAAAAATTATTATTTACTTTATAATATTAATTAAATATTAATAAAATTTAGATTTAAATAATTTTAAACTTAATAAAAGTATTATTTAAAATATTAAAAGTAAATTTACTTTAATAAAATATATACTATATTTCTCTGAAAATAAGCAATTCCCAAAAATAAACTATTTAAAATAAATTTAATATCTGAAAATAAGCACTTAATTAAATTAAATAAATTAATTTTATAAAATACATATATAAAAACTTAAAATTTTAAAAAATTTTATTTTTAATATTTCAAATATATAAATTATGTTAAATGTAATTTTTAATATTATTTTTGATATAAGTTATTAAATGAAATTTAAAAGTTTTTAAGTTATCTAAATGTAAAAAGGTAAAATTTTAACAAAATTAAAATTTAAATATTTTATCAAATTCAAAATAAATTTAGATAAATAATCTTACTTCAATATCATTTTTTATATCATCAATAATATCATTATTACTATTAATATCATTTTCAATATCATTGATAATATTATCATCACTATTAATATTATTTTTATCAAATTAAAATCTAAATTAATTAATATTTTACAAGTTTTAAAAGATTCTATTATAATTCTATCAAAAATTCTTTTCTAAAATTTTTTAATCTATAAATATACATCAATAAATCTAACATAATAAAAGTTTTCTTAATAGCTTCTCTAGTATTACTATTAGTTATTCAAATATACTATTCTTTACAAAGATTATTCTTAAATAGTTTATTTATTATAATATCTAGTAAATAACAAATGCTAATCAATTCATTCAGGAATTACTGTAAGATCAAAGCTAATTATAAATTTATATTAATAAATTTTATGATAATTATAAAAATTTATATATACTGTATATAAAATAATATAAAATAAATATATAAAAAATTTTTAATAAGTAAAAATAATATTTTTTATAAATATTAATATTTTTTTGTATATTAATTAAAATTAAAATTTTATTAATTATTGAATTACTATAAATTTAAGATAATATAAAATTTTTAGTAAAATATACTATTCTATCAATGTATTTAGTCAAACTTTTTTGATTATTTAAAGATCAGATATATTAATTAATATAAATTTTTTTAAAAAATATACCAGTTCTGACAAATAAAATTTATGTATTTATTTTTATTATAATATGGGAGGGTTTCTAGAAAAATCAGGTTCCGAGAAATTTTTGACTTAAATTAAGAGCTTAATACATTTTAATATAATAACATCAAAAACTAAAATGCAATAAAAATCTCAATTTTGTTAAAAAATTTCCAGAACCTGGTTTTCCTAGCAATCAACCTATATATATATTAAATTTAATAATAAAAAAAATAATAATCAATTTTGCATAATAATAATCTTTAACTTTTTATTACACTATTGAAGCATATGAGAGGTAAACTATTAAAATCATATTACGAATCATATGATTTACTATATTTATAATTCAATTTTAATAGCAAATCTCTCATATTTTGAAATAAGAAAAAATCATAAATTAAATAAATTTGAGTGTGAAAAAGTTATTAGATTTTAGATAAGAGGAAGAACTCATAAAGCTATTAATTATGTTTTAAAAATTTCAAAAAATACTATTACAAACACAATTTCTTAATACAAAAATCTCAATAATGTTTAATAGCTAAAAAAAACTAGAAGATAATATTCTATAAATAATGATGAACATTGTAACCTTTCAAAAATTATTAAAAAATAATTGACTTTCTCTTAAAGAAATTCAATAAAAATTTAATAATTCACAAAATAAAAATATTTCAGTTATAACTATTTGTAAAATCTTTATCAAATAAGAATTAATTTATATATTTTTATATTAAAATCACTTTTTACTGAAGTTTAACATGAAAAATGATTATTATAGTATATAGAATGATAAAATTAGTCAGTTAGATACTAGAAAATTATTATCTAAAGCAATGAGTTCAGATTTACTTTTTTTTAAAAATAATAGTCCTATTTGGATTTAGTGAAAAGATAAAATCTAATACAATATTAAAAATTTAATACTAATAATTAAATATGATAGTGAGGGTATTATAGTATAAAGATATTTTTCAGAAAAGTATTAGGACCATTGGTAAAAATAGATAGTAAAATGAATAAATTTAATTACATTAATATTTAAAAAATTTATTATCATTCATCTAATCTATATATCATAAATAACTTTATATATTTTAAGATAATAATGCTTCTATTTATACTGCAAAAGATGTTAAAAATTGGATTATACAAAAAAAATTAAGATTCTTTTCAGATTAGCCTTCTTAATCTTTAAACCTTAATCCTATTGAACATTTATGATATGAACTAAAATAAAGACTTTGAAAATGATTAGGATATCTAAAAAATTTATATGAATTTGAAAAAGTATTGTAAGAAGAATGGAAAAAAATTTTATCTGAAACTTGTATTAATTTAATTAAAAGTATATCATATCAGATAAAAATATATATTAAAAGTCAAGAATAATCAACTAAATATTAAAATTTTATAATATTTATAATAAAATATAATTTTTAAATTGATTAACTAGATACATTTAATAGAATAGTATATACAGTATATAAAATAATTTAATTTATAAATTATCTAATAAGCATCAAGTGATACTATAACTTGATATAAGTAATATAATCTGCTAATGTGATATAGTATTAAATATTAGAAATTAAATATATTAAATATATTTAATATGTTATATATAGTAAACATAATAAATATGTTTAATTTAATTA